TAAAAAAGTGGGGTGGGAAAATGTGGTTTTTCCAAACTTCCGCTATAAAAGGGGGGGTGACCCACCCCCCAAAGACCCCCCCCCCCGCAGGGGGGGTGGGGGGGAATTCTGTGAGTTGAAGTCCACTCATCTTAAAGTGGCCAAGTTTGGACAACACTGGGTTAAAGTAACAAATGTGTAATATACAGAGCCTGGATAACTCTCTGTAAGGGCGGGGGGGGGAGGGGGCCAGAGAAAATCTCATAAGATGAAAGTCAATCCATTCACACACTGATCACTTTGTACCTTTTGTGAAACAAACAGTACACATATCCTGGTTGTAGTGATTCATTAACACTATGTCAGCTGAGCTAGTATGCTTATGCAACAACTGATAAAACTAGTAGTTCACATTTAAAAGTATATCTGGAATGCATATGGGCACATACAGGAACATACACATACAGCTGGGTATTTCTTGAAGGAGGGAAGATTTTTTTTAAAATCTACATTTCCTAGGAATACACTTTTTACAAAAATACCATTTTGATAAAAGAAGAGATTTCCCAGAGCCTGGATCTCCAGATACAAGGAGGGGTGGAATTGGTGCAGGTGCTGCTACCAAATCATTCAGACGTTCATAATACTGCAAATGAAACAACACAATATAATAAATAATTGTGGAGTTAGATCCAAGCATCCGTGCATTTACTTGATCTTAAAGCTCTGTCAATCCCAAAGTTCAGTCCTTTCCATATTAACTTTGTGCGTATACAATAACTATATTGGCATTGGCTTAGTTTACACACAAAGCTAAAACAGAATTTATTGACCATGATTTATTGAACATATCATACTGCTCTGGGTCATATTTAAGCAATAATGGATAGATCAATCATAGTCCTCACACAGTCCCAGTTTGAACAGCATGAAAAACTCAATGACGGTACAGTTTAGTGTGTTTGGGGTACCAGATCAACTGAATTTGTACTTTGAGGCAAGACTGTTATTTTCCAGTACCTTGGTCTTATTCACTGAATTTTATAAGATGGAGTTGCAATTCTCTTATTCTTTCCTGTCATTTCAGCCATCTTTTTTTTTTCCTTTCAGAGACAATCTGTTAAGGAAAAAAAGAGTAGCTACGCAATGCTCCAATATACCCAACCTATCTAACCCCAAGGTTATTTTTGTCTTTATAAAAATATGGGAGACTACTGCCATCATCTCTAGTCATGGCATCAGTATCCAATCATGTAACTAACATTTAGACCAGCTTCATAGGCAATCATGTAATAGTCTACCCTCTTTACTGAGCCTCAAAGGGACCTAACTTTGAAAGTACAGTGGTGGCCTTGTGAAGATGGTTCATAAGAATGGCTTTGCCCTTGTTATCTGCAACTGTTTGACAGAATTTTGTCTTTGCTTTTTACTTTTGGTAAGTATGATTTTGCCTTTGTTTGAGTGTTTAGCAAGAATGTTCTTGCCCTTGCCAAGACATATCTGGCTAGTGTTGTTCTGCCTATCACAAATGAAATAATAAAAGCTTGTATTTTGTCCTTGAAATACAAAAGTGATTCTTCTTAGAAGGTTTGGAGGTAAGCACAATGCTGTATTGTTGATTATGCTTCAGGCAGTATTTCTAGCTCTACTTACAATCATTAGTTTGGACTGTATTGTTCTTTTTATACGGATCTTTTTTATACCACTGTCTGCCTGTTCTTATAAAGAAATAACCTAAAGAATATACAATAAAGCTTTCAGTAAGTATGATACAATTACAGTGTGTTCTCTGAGAATGAAAAACCTACTGATAAGTACAGAATTGGGAAGAGTTGGCTTGGCAGCGTACAGTGTGAGAAAGTTCTAAGAGCAGATTATTAGTTGACCCAATCTATATAGCTGCCCAACATGAACCCCAAGTAGCTTACAAAATAAATAAATAAAACAGATCAACAGTTCCATTAAAATAAATACAAACCCTTAATAGGCTGTTAGGAACTCACAATTATTACACTCCTCCAGTTGGGGACTCCCATTATTACCCCATTACTTATTACTTGGGGTAATAAGTTCAGTTCTGGACTTCAAAAAAAACATGAAGAAGCTGAAGTGGGGTCAGAGGAGAGTTACCAGCGCATGAGCAACAGTTAAACCAGCTGGTTATGTTTAGTTTGCAAAACAGAACATTGATGGGAGGTATTATAGCAACTTACATATATTTAAATGCTGTCATATTCAAGTGGAGAGTTATTCTCTGTTGAAAGTAAGCCCAAGCAAAGACCAATAGACTGACATTAAAAGAAAAGAGATTCAGCCTGAATATTATGGGAAATGTTCTGATATTAAGGGCCGTTAAGAAGTTGAACAATCTACCAGGAAGAGTGGCAGACTCCCTTTCACGAGAAGTTTGCCAACTGGTGGCCATCTATCAGAGATAGGTGATTTCTGGTGGCCACCTATCAGAGATGGGACTGGTGGTCACCTATCAAAGATGGCTTTGTGATTTTTTGCACTCAGCAGGGGACTGAACTAAATGTCCTGTCAGATCCCTTCCAATTAATATATTCTATGATGAAACTGTTCTGAAAAGCTGCCAAGTACATTGTCAGGCTTAAAGTGCTCACGGGAAAAACTATGGAAACAGATACAAATTTCCTGCTTGGCTTGGGTAAATTTATGTTACTTTATCATTATCTGGTAAAAAAAAAAAAGGATTTAGCCAGGACTATGATTATGAGGAAGCTTAATCACTTGACAGTGTGATATGCAAACCTACCCTTTAAAAGCTAGCATTATATACAAATCAGGTCACTATGACTTGTCAGCCAAGGAAGATTTAACTTAAAAATTCTGGCTTAGTCTTATACATGAACTTAGCTACAGAATATAAGTTTGTTACCCCTGCAAGTGCAAGTTTAGTAACAAAAAATGAATACACACACAAAACAGAAAATCTTCTACCGCTAATACCTTAAATTCAACACAACCAGGTTTAAACCAACTTTGTATAAATGCATGAGAATACTGCATCAGTATATTCTAAACGTTAACTATAGCATCAAATGGCATAAAACACTAATATGTTATTTATCAATTTTGGGGTCTCATTTTGGAATCACTATTTTAAAAAACCACCAATAATCATTACCCCGTTTGAATGGAAGTACATTTTGTCTTCAAATATAGATACAAGTATCTTTGCACCCAAGTCCTTAATCATTTTTCAAACCATGCCTATGTTCCATTGTGTCAACAACTTACAGATTTAGAAGACAGTTCTAGGACAGATCTACAGAAGCAAAGGAATTCACATATTCTATATATGGAGCTATTGCCCCATTTAAAATGATGAATGTTTTTTGTGTACAATTCACTGTCATTGTGCTTGAAACACAACAGTGGATTGTAGCAATATGATATAACACAGAGGAATTCAGTTCAATTTAAATCCCAAAAAAGTCAGTGGGATTTCAGCCCCTTAATTTAGAAGCAGATCATTCTCATCTTAGTGGAAAATATGTTATTGTAAGCATGCTTAAATTTGTAGAATCAACTTGCTAAAAATGTATCTTGTCTAAAATAATCAATGTAACCAAAGATTTATGAAGTTGATAGGTTCCTCATAACTGGTTTTGCATGGTGGTTCTAAATGTCAAATAACTTAAAATATAACAGAAGGAAACTAATAAATTAATGTTATGCAACTTGTGCCCTTTTCAACTGTGGTCCATAAATACAAATTGTGCTAGTACCCAGTGTGCTTTTTATTCTAGAAGTGTTCGGCATAGAGGCTTGAAATTCCATCTGGATAATCTACTGCCTGTATAATGAAGTATTTTGCATTATCTCAATAGTTAGAGGCATACAGTACAAGTAAACTGGAATAACACCATAACATTTTCTCCCCAAAGAGAAACAGCAACCGCATCCACAAATTTTTAATATGAAACTTTTAGGATCAGTTCCCAAACCAAGTCTGTCAACTATCTAAGAACTAAAAGCCTCTAAGGTTATTCTCAAATCTGGTTCCTTCCATATTTTCTACAATGAAAAAGGAAAAAAACCCCACAAACATTTATTTCCTTCATGGAGAGGATATGAACTTACTTTGTCAAATCCTAGTTCACATGTTGAATTAGATGCCTGCTGGAAAGCCTCCATTTGTTCTTGTTCATCATGTGCATCCCACAGCACATCTCCAAACAGTTCCTCTTCAGGAATTGAAGAGTCACCATCATCAGTCACATCTTTCTTTTCCAGTTGTGAAACTTCACAGCCCAGTATATCCTGTATGAGAATACAAGCAAATCATATGAAAGAGTAATGACTCTTCTCTATGCCAATTTCTAAAACAACAATGATTTCAGGCTCTGGCTTGCTCTCCAGCATGAAAATTAAAAAAGGACTCTTCACAGTTTGTTCACATATTAGAAAACTATGGAATCCTGTAATCTCTGAATTTTGGGGGAAAAAAAAACCAACCTTGGCCTGACTCAGTTAACAAGATGACCTATGTGGTATCTTCTCTCTTTTAACAAATGTACCATCCAATAGCAGAACATATACGTAGGTTAGAGTGGAACTGCTGTACCATCCATATAACCAAGTTGTTTTATACCCTTATTGTATTCAATACTAGCAAAAGCCAAAATTAACCAAATGTTTATCTTAGTTGTCACCTCACATATTCCTGGAACAGAAAATACTATATTTTAAAACTATACTAACTAGTATCCCAGCAACTAAAGCGTAAACTTGAAACATTTTAAAATATACAGAAAATAACCTAGATGATAAATGCATCCTAAATGACATGTAGATAAACTAGATACTTTCAGAATATTGGCAGATACTAATTTTTTGAAAGATAAAGTCAAACATCAGAGGACAGGATAAGCTACCCAATAAGAATTAAGCATGAGCTGCTTTTTGGATAAGAATACCAACATGATATTTGACTTTGCAAACACTTTCATCTTATTCATACTTTATATGAATATTTAAAGTATTATTTAAAGTACTTTAGATGTAAATTTCAAAAACATAATTAAGTGTTCTGACTTATGAAAATCAAGAAAACTATGTAAAATGTGGCACAATTAAAAAAGAATTGTAACATTTATATACTGCTTTTCCATCATCCATATAATCTTCAGAACAAGACACTATGGATAATACCTGCTTTATAATCCTTTCCACATAGTTGTATACTTCATATGCTCCTTCCTCTAATCCTCCCACGTGGTTGATGATCTTAGGGGAAAAAGAAAGAAATCATTATTAAAAGATTAGGTCACGTTAGAGCTGACAAGCTTTAATAACAGAAAGATTTATAGGGCTATTTTTATATTCAACAAAACTGACATACTTCTGATGAAGGCCAGCTTCACACACTACTCTTAATACAAACAACAAATACCCAGATTCCATATAAAAAGCCTGTGTTACTGAGACATGAAATCAAAAGATTTGTAGCGATGCCCAGAAAAGTAGTTCAAGGTATCTTTATTCTCTATGTCAATGTAAAGTACAGAACTTTTTTAAAAGCGTAAATCTAAACACATTTTGATTAGTACATATCTGCTTCAAAAACTACAATCTCTTATTAGATACTTGGTCATTGTTCCACTACATCTCCTCTAACAAATACCCTCTAATGTGAGAATTTGATATTCCACGATTATGCAAATTCAGTTGTGAACTATACTTTTAGCTTTCTAGAGGCATGATTCTACATTCAGTATGGATAAAAAGGGTAATCTGTAAATCCTGCTAATACTGTTACAACTACTATGCTACATAAACAAAAAGAAACTAAACACAGTAAATGTTCCACTTTTGTAGGTGTCTCTCATTACCTTTGCTTTGTTCACAAAGCAAACTTGCTCAATTAACTGCTGCACAGAATCTGAACTGACTTGACCATCTTCTAGTCGGTGATAAATGAGCCGGGGTTTCCCTTCAGGGTTTTTCAAAAAGGCTTCTTCACACTCATCCAGTAGATAGCTAGATTGGAAATCAGCATTCTTGTGCTATAATACTTTGCTGCAGTAATCAGTGTTAGCCCCAAGATTGTATTTTTCTAAAAGCTCCAATCAAAATGGTCAAACCTTGAGTATAAATTAAGTCATGCATTTTTAAAAACTGAGGGCAAAAATTTCCCTGCCCCACAAATAAATATAAATATTAATTTTACAACGAATGTAACTAAAATGGTAGCCAGATCTATTCATGTAAGTTCAATAGCAACTGAAGCTGTGAAGTTTTACACAGCCCTATTCTTACCTTCAACTATGTGAAGTGAATGCCCCCCCAAAAGATATCTGTTAACTCAATTCTTTACTAGGAATTGGAGCATCAGGTCATCAATCCTGAATGTAATAAATGTACAGAATATATCATACTGCTGTATAATAAGTGAGAACAGTTAGCTCAGTATTGCCCATCAAGACAGTACAGGTAGTCCTCAACTTACGACCACAATAGAGACAGGAAAATTCATTATTAAGCGGTGTGTTCATTAAGCAAAGCATCACATGACTGCACCCAATTTTACAACATTTTTTGCAGCAGTTGTTAAGCAAATCACCACAGTCGTTAAGTGAATCACATAGTTCCCCATTGATTTTGCTTGTCAGAAGCCAGCTGGGAAGTTCACAAATGGTAATCACATGACCCCAGGATGCTGCAGCCATCATAAATACATGCTAGTTGCCAAGTGCCCGAATTGTGACCACATGCCCATGGGGACACTGCAACAGTCATAAGTGTGAGGACCAGTTGTAAGTCACTTTTTTCAGCACCACAGTAACTTCTAATGGTCGCTAAATGAATGGTCGTAAATCAAGGACTACCTGTAGCTCTTCAGGATTTCAGAAGACTTTGCCAAATCCTATCAAAGATGTCATGGACTGTAAACAAAACATTCACTCTTACCTTTGAGTTATCCATACAGGATCTACTTGTTTTTTAGGTCTAGCCTTAGCTGCCTGTTTTGGATTATGCCAATTGTGATGGGTTGCAAGGATCCCAAAGGACATGGTTAAAAAGCCCAGTTCAAAGAGCTTGCTAGGAAAAGCCATGGTGGAAGTTTCTGAGCAGACATAAGACACTTTCACACAGCACTGTTTCCATTCCCCAACCCCTCCAAACCAACAGGAAAATAAAAAAAAATCATCAATCAGTGTCCCCACACCAACTTACTTCAGCATCTTCATTCCTTTTTTCATACAAAAGAGAAAATAAAAGTGAATTGCTAGGAAACCCATTTTGCATTTCCAGAACATATTTTGCACATTTGCTTGTTTGCAAAAATGAAAAAGGACAGTTGCTATTAAGGGTGCCAAGCCATAATTTCTCTGTTGGATTTAAAAGCTTATTGTTAGCACTGACTGTTAAAGGACAGCATGCTGACAATTCTGCAACCAGGTATTATTTTTCCTGGTAGCTATAACTGCATCTTGTTGCAGTGGCTGGAGTGGAAAAGAAGAGGAGATGCATTATAAATAATGCCTACAAATACCTTAACAAGGTGCTGAAGGTTGACTGTGAGAGGGAAAATAAGGAGAGAATGCCAGTACTGGAACATTAAAACTCTCACACTTTCCTCAAAAGAGAAAGAAATAAAACCCCAAATTCTTGCTCCAATCCACAAGACAGTAGCTAAATCCAAGCAGATATCTGGCACTTTGAAGTCAACTGGTCATGTACCAAAAAGAACAGAGAACCAGATAGAACTCGTGTCATCTTCACCCCAGTACCTATGCAGGAACAGTTGCATCTGCAAAGGGTCAAAACAGCCCAGATCAATTCTGGCTGAGTTTTAAAGCAGAATTAACCAGATAGCAAGCATTGTTTTGACTGTGTACAAGAATATTTATGAACAATTGCTGTGATCAATGAAGTTATGAAGTTATTAAGCAACTTTTCCTCCTTTAGAACATATAAACAGACGGCTATGAAAACTGAAGCTCAGGAACCAAGAGCAGGAACAGGCAAGATTTCCTGCCACAGAGCTGCAGAGCTTCATCATTACAAATGGCAAGGCTGCATTTTTTGTTTTTTGCAATTCTGGATACACTGCAGCTATGCTAAAAATTTATCAGTTCAGTTGCCAAACACAGATGATATGGAATACAGATTCCCTGTGTGAAAGTGCCATTGTGGCAGAAACTTCTTTCGACAGGGTTTTGCCTGCTGATTTAAGTGCATGGCTAAAACTAAATCTGCCCAATCTCAATGCTCATTTTAGAAAACGGAAAACACGTTCCAAGCAAATCTGTTCTGAAGTCAACAAAACCTTCATTTCTGACATGGACAATTTTTCCTGACTGGGGGAAGCATCTCTTCTATATCATTCATTATGTTTTTGTTTTCATTCAGTAACCATTGCACTTTTAAGATAAATGTATTTATCTTAAAACCATTTATTGGAAACTATATTTGGTGTCCTTTCTACATATACAATCAAGAAAATGTACTTGATTAGAATATGCAAAGCACATGGCTATCTTTAACATATTATTAAAATTTATGGAATAAAAGGTTGTATATTTTCATTATTATAGATCTTGATAATCAGATAAACTGAAGACGATTTTTACTGGAACATGTAAATAATTTATTAAGTATATTTAAAACTATGTTCCATAAGTTTACTGAAATGTAATTAAATAACTTTTTTTTTTACCTTTATACTTTTTTTAAAAAATATTCCCATTCTATTTTTCTTCCAAAAACCGTTCAAAATTACATAAGGTAGCCTCTTTGTTTAATGTCTAAATGTTAATAACTCACCTTGGCAAACTTAAATGTAAAAACAAAATGGTTAAAGAACTTTTCTCAATTTCCCATTTCCTCACAGCATGTAGAGAACTCTCATTTTCTACTGGAAAATGGACAACTTGAAAAAAATACTCCATTGTCTCACAATATTTCTGAAGTTTTGGAGAATATTTCTGAAAATTAAGAAGAAATAAAACACAACCTGCTTCACATCTAAAGCTAAGCCATAAACCATAGTTTACAAATCAGAAAGCTGGATTCACACATCTTTCTAAACCAAAGCCAAATAAACCACATTATGGATTAGTACAGTGTTTGAGCTGTTATTATAATAAACTGGGGTTAGTATTAATTATAGGTAAGAATTATACCTACCTTTGACCACAAATTATCTTAAAGTAGTATTATTATTGAGTGATTAAATTGTAATTGCTCTGGACACAGGGAAAGTCCCTAATTTTTTTCAGTCTGTTTACAGCAATTGCTAATGACTTGTATGTATCAGAAGCATTCCAACAAAATGCCTTTTCTATAAGAGATCATCCAAATTGGTTCATAGAAGAAAATTAAAACCACCTAATTCAAAAGCAGAATTCAAATGCATTACAAAACAAAGGATACAAATTACAACCACAGTAATAAACATTACCACCAAAGCATAATAAGAACAAGAATTTCAGACCAAATACTGAGAATAAACATCACTGCATGAAATAGACATATTTTCATTACTACACAAAGATATACCGTAATAGAGCCAAGCAGACCCTTTTTAAGGAAAAATTCAGTATCTTTTGAGCATCCAAAGATCTTGGTGCTTGTATCCACCCAATGTAACTCCAGTTAAGATAGGACCCAGAACAGGATCACCAATTTTGATTACTACACTCAGTTGGATTCATATTAAAGACAGCAATTCAGTCCATAGGGGTTAGAACTTCCTGCTACTGAAAAGCTTTCCAAGAAAATCAAGTCTTGTGAATATGAACTTGAATTTTAAATCACAAATACTGTAAATCTTAAGCAACCTGGGACCAGATTACCTGACAGAGAACATTTTTCCTGTCACAGATCTGGCCAGTGATTGAGACCAACAATGTTAATTAAATTAAGGAATATTTCTATAATAAAATACATCTGCAGTTCTTGTACAATATTAATAAGTGATTTTAAGAAAAATGAAAAATGATCTTTAAAAAAAATCAACAGCAGTTAAGGCTGCCATTAATAAATTAGGGTGGGGCAAAGACAAAACAAAATGTAATCAAAATCTCTGGTAACTGGGCGGAAATTCTCATACTCAGAGCAAATCTAAATCCAAAATAATGTTATAGCATTATAGAACCAGATACTAACTCAATATGTGTAGGGAGAATACATAAAGTCAGTGTTTTTCTACTGAAATTATTCATTGTGTCACGTTAGGCAACCAATGTGTCATAAATCTAGAAACATCCATTCAACATTATATTGTTGTATTACTTCTATGAAAAGTCATGTATCTAGGTTTATTCAACAGGCAGTAGCTCTCTAAGACTTCAGACAGAAATCTTGTCCTTAATGTTACTCCAATCCAGATCCTTTTAAAACTACAAAATGCCAAGAATTAAACTTAAATTCATACAGGGCCAGTGCTCTCATACTGAACTTCATCTCCTCTACTGAACTCTATAAAATTAGGCCATCCATATGGGGGAATTGCATACGTAGGTTTGGATCACCAGAATGTGAGACAATAAAGACAAACATAAAAATCAGTAGCATATTGTATAGTGCTATTTCCCTCACCTTTATGAAAATGTCTACTTCTAACTGAGTCTCTTCAGTATTAATGAGATACACTCTTACTGTGTTACTCCACAAAGAGTGGGAAAACAAAGGAGTGACTTGCAATAAACTGGCAACAGCTGCATCCCAATCATCTGTAAAGAACAAAAAAATAAAGAACATCAAGCCAAACTTTCTCCTCTCCCTGTTACCAACCACTCATGGAGATGCAGTATCCTGTTCCCGTAGCTTGTCCCTTTCCGTTTGCATCAGTGTTTGGAATTTGCTTCCCCCTCTTCCAATTCAGCTGCTATAACAACATACTGTCACAGGTACTAGGGAAAGTGTTTGCAAAATTGTTGAGATGTTGTCATTTCACCTTCACAGCCCACAGAGGCAAGGCCAACAGGAAGCTTTAGAGAATTTCAGTGCTTTTGTTGACACATTTTCAGTTCATCTTCTGTCACACAGCTTCCATTATAGCAATCTCAGATTTTTTTTTTTTTGCAAATACTTACAAATAAATGTACTGAAAAACACAGAGGTGGCTGCTAGCAATTTATTTTATTTCCTTTTTGTGTGGTGTGTGAGCAAAGATTTTTATTACTCCACAGCCAGAAGTAGCTCAGAGAATGGAACATTGATTAGATAACATTCTTTGCACTCTTCTGTTGGTCAGCTGGAGAGATCCCCTAGCTCATTTCTCACATTCTGTGCACTCTAAATGCAGATGCTATGAAAGTGCCCAGAGTTGTATCTTCTGAAAGACTTCCTATAAAAATGTTCACTGCTTGTTATATATACACTATTACATATTAGCTTTTACTTTTAAGAAAATTATTTTCACATGTGTAAGTGCAGTTAAACTTTAATAATTATTAGACAGAAGTTTAGAGATCAGAATTATTGATCAAGAAACCTGCTATATATTATGCTGGGTTGAGGCTCCTTCCTGTTTGTTTTAGCTATCAGATTTATTCACTGCAGGCTTAATATTTCATACATGGCTTGAAAATGAAGATCATTTGGAAGATAAGGGAAGAATGAAAACATTCTGTATCGGCCATGGACAAAATTACATTATGCTTAAATAGAAATGAGCTTCATAGACATACAGGCTTTAAAAGAAAAAGAAAAACAATAAATGAGCACCCATTTAACATATAACTGAAAGAGAAAGAAGAAAGAAACGTTTCATCAGCAGATTAAATCTTATCTGGCATTGCTAGTCATCTATAAAGAAAATAAGATTTGGTCTGATATATGAAGCAAGCTCATACAAATATCAATTCTTCACCAATATTAAACTTTGATGAAAATCTAAACACCTTTGCAGATAAAGAGCTACATATTTTTGAATTCCAGCTCTATGCTTCAGTACAAATTATGCCCTAGAACCTTACAAGATTTAGTCCTAGACTTTTAGTAGGGATTATTGTTGTTGTTATTATCATTCTTGCTTCAGAGAGTACCAAATACTTACCTCTATTGACATTTGCAAATGGTCCTTCCACATCTATGGAACTATGCGCAAACTCAGGTCCTCTAAAAGACTGCTGAAGTTGTATCATACTGCCCATGGAAGGCTCGCTTCCCAAGGCTCCTCCTGTCCAATATTCTGTCTGACCTCCAGCAGCTTAAAATAAACAGATGCCAATTCAATAAATTAAACATAATCAAAACTACAATTATTCTTCAGAAGCAAAGAGCATGAAAGCAAAGGGAGTTTTCTGGAAGGAAACTAATGGAGCTGCAATTAGCATATTTAAACAAGGTAGTTAAAAAACATGTCACTGTAAAGTGTACTTTGACCCCAAGGTGGAAGATACAAAAAAGTACATCCATAGTAAATATATTATTGTTGTTGTTGTTGAAGCTTTCAGAATATTATGATAAGGGGCCTTCCTCTCCTGCCCCAAATTTCCATACTAATCAAGAAATCATAATCAGAATAAGATTTGGAAACCCTAAACTAGGCCAGATCTGGTTAGTACTTACATGGATGACCAAGTGCTATAGGAATTCCCAGAATTATAGACTAGAACTGGGAACTCTACAAAACTTCCCAAAGGTCAGTGGCAACCTACTTCTATATTGCTGTCAAGTTTCTTTGTTCAGTTTTCAATCCTAAAAAATGATATGCCTTTGCACTTAGAAAGTTCAACATCAAGATATTGCCTTTGCACTTAGAAAGTTCAACTGACACAGTATTTTAAATGAAAAGGAGGGGAGAAGAAGAAAAAGTCACTGTTTGAAAACAGGAGAAACTGAAGTGGCTTGTTTAAAGGATTAAATAAGATTCAGTTTAGCCACTGTTACTGCTTGGAAGTTATTTTGGTTTTTTGAAATAGAATCTTTTTGTCTGTTTTACTGTATAGTGCACAGACTTATAAAACATCTCTACATAACTGGTAAAAGCCACAGCATTCATACCAGTAATTTCTGTACAGCTGTCATCCGAATCTGACTCTTCAGGATCAAATATCTGGATACCTTGAGCTTGCAACCTCTGAAGTTTTGCTTCAAGCTCTCGCTTGGCCCTTAGTAGATCCTGAATTTCATTTTCCTTGGTTTCTCTGAAAATCTGTAAATGAAAAAAGATTGTTCTGAGCAAGTGTATATCCAGTTCTTCTTAAAACTGTGTTATTATTTCATTACATGCATGAAATTAACATACCTTTTTAACTTAGAATCTAGCTTTTTTTCCTTCCAAGTCTTAAGCAACAGAACCCCAATTCCTACTGATCCATTTGTGAAGATAAAAGGGAAATATCTAGACACAAGTGGAACTTGCAATAAAGTTTTTTAATATAAAGGGATCCTATTCAAGGTAACAGCCTATCAACTCTGGCTTCTAAGTTACTGTCCAGTGTTCCACACATACTGTGTGTCCATTCCAAGGCTGTTTAGGAAAAGGAATTCCATCGTTAACAATTTTACTTCTAAAAAATATTTTTATTTCAGCAAAGCTTAGGGCTCCCCCAAACATGCAGCTACTCCTCATTTATCCATGGCTGCAAAGCCAATAAATGGAATTATTTACTTTGAACTGCCTCTTGACTTTGTCACGATCATGTTCAAATGTAGCCGCTCTTTCCATAGCTTGATATTTGGCCTCTAAAGCACTTTCCTTTTCTCTGAGGATTTTCTGATATGTTTTCTGAAGTGCCTGGGGGGAGGAAAAAGTGACATTGTTAACCCCTGATCTGAAAAAATTCATTTATTCACTCTGTTAATTTGTTAGATGTCAGAAAGCTCTTCCTAATCCCCAAAGTGTAATTTGAATACATTTGATCTTTTAATCCAGAGGTTTAGCAGACATTCCAGATATAGCTCATCTGCAACTTTTAGCATCCCTCACTACTATTAGCTATTCTGGCAGAGTCTGCTAAGAATTACAACTCAGCAACAAAGGATGGCCACAGATTTCCTACTCTATTTTAACAGGAAGCTTCTTTTTGTCAGTCCTGGTGCCACTGCCCCTTGCAGGTACCTGAAGTTCTGCCCTCAGGCGCTTGTTTTCTTTGTCCAGCTTCGCCTCTTTCTTCATCATGGCGGCCACCTCATTGTTCTTGCTAATGCGGAAAATTTCATATTCCTTTTTCAAGCGCTCATATTCTGCCATGCATTCCAGCTCTTGTACAGAAGCAGTAGATTTGAAGCTTGCACCAATGAGGCCTCCAGGCCGGGATGCACCTACACGCCTAAAAGAACTGCGCAGAAGACGGGCTTTGGGCTTCACCTCAACAGGAATTTCACAGGCCTCACCACCTCCTCCCTCGTATGGATCTTCAATCACCTCCCCAACAGTGACCATTGGATTAACCAAAGATGAAGCAGACCCCATAACTGAAGAACTCCCTTTATGCACAGGCTCTTCTTAATGGGAGATCCTACCTAACTTAAAGATCCTACCAGTTATATACTTTCCTTGACATTATTGCCAAGATCTGCAGCTGCTACTCAACACTTGGGCCCAAGACACGGCCCTGAATCACTTTCATTCCTCCCCTCCTAGTTATCCATAAATGGCTGGATGCTTTTGAACTGCTCAAGCTAGATTGCTGGTTTTTAGACTGGCAAATACTTCAATATGTGTGCAAATTAGGAATAACCCCTCCCCCCAAACGGAATTAAAAAATATATGACTCTTCTTAAGGCCGGTAGATAAGAGCACAGGGTGTTGCACATAATACAGATTTCATTAATGAGGCTGTAACTACTACAGACCCATATTCATTAACACAGGTAACAACTGTCAGTCCACTCATGGAGAAGGAAATGTTCCCATTGTTGTGTTGTTAGTAGTAGTAGCAGTACAATTCTGGTTGTCCACAGGAGACAGTGGCTTAGCCTGCCAACCTTCCACGCATCTCCTTGGAAATAAATCTGACTGAAGCTTATCTCACTGAGCTGTGAGTCCTGCGTTATGCAATCAAAGCAAACTACACCCTGGCAAACAGGCACACGGGCTGGACCCTCAAAGATCTCCAGCCGCGTGGTTAAAAGGCTGCTGCAAATATGCTTCCGGTCATTCTCCCAGTAACAAGCAAGGCTACCTCGGTCATCAACAGCTCACACCCGTCTGTCCTACTGTTTCCCAGGCTATCCTCGCTCTTTTTGTTCAGAAAAAAGGAAAGAACCGAAAAGGAGGGAGTCGTTCTCCAAGCAAATGGAGGGTCCATGCAGAAGTTTTTACTCCAGAGCTTCCCAGAAGAGTCCCTCAAGTTTCCAGAAGCCACGGGAATGTTGGCGGGAAGCAGCCATCAGCCAAGCAACTTGCTCGCTCGCTCGCTCGCTCCTCCTCCAGCTCCTCGGCCTCCTTCGGCTGAGTTGCAGCCCAGGCGCTGCTGCTCGGGAACGGCTTCGGCCGGGGGGCAGCCGAACCAGCAGGAGAAAGAAAGAAGGCAGTGACGTGGCAGCTTTCGCCCGGGCAGCTGCAGCGGACGGAGGCGCCCTTGTGGGAAGAAAGCGAAGCGCCAACTTTCGTTGTCTTTCCGTGGCTCGCGCTCCGCTTGCCAGGCTCGCCGAAAGAGAAGGCGCCCTCTGGACACTTGCGGGAAAGGCTTGGGCGGGCCCTGGGACGCCGGGTTCTCCAACCTGACGCCCTCTCGGGTTGCGTGGGAATGGAACGCCCGCCAGTCTTCAGTCGAAGCACGGCCATTCTGGCGACAGACGAGAAGAGTTGTAGTCCGGCGCCTGTCGAGGGCGCTGGTTGGGGAAGGCTGCTTTTCTCGA